GGCGTCGAGCTCCGTGGCGTCGTGTCGCTGTGTTTGTGTGTTTGTCAGGATCCTCCTCTGACTTGGCCACCACAGGAAGCGGTGGGTCTCGCCCTTCAGCACCCAACCCGCGATACCCCGAGCGAGCACGTCCTCACTCTGCAAAACGCGTTGGGAAAGCGGGTTTCACCTTGCAGAGTGTGTTTCCAAAACAAATTCTCACACACCTACCTCAGTGCCTTCATTTAATTCGTTAATTTAATTAACCCCCCAGCAGGAGCCTGGTGGGTTTTGTGGCTGGTGCGGGGATGGCAGAGCTGGAGGAGCAGGCAGCAGGTCCCAGGTAAATCAGCACAGGGGTTGGTTTTCCTGAGAGCACCGCAGAGTTGCTGCGTTTGGGTGACGTGAGCGTGATGCCGGGCGGCTGCAGCGTGACCAGTGCTGCTGCAGGGAGAATAAAACCACCTCCTCGTTGAGCTCTGTGCGCGCACTGGGGCTGCCAGCCCTCGGCCGCGCTTGCCAGGGCGCCGCGAGCAGCGTCGAGGCCGGGGTTCGGCAGCCCCTTGGCTCTCGTTTCGCTAGGCGCTGCCTCGCCGCGAGGGCCCCGACATGGATCCCGTCCTGTGAGGCGGCTGCTGAGCACACCCGGGTGCACATCCCAGCCGTCGTAACACTCGTCCTTGGGGAGGCGTGAGGGAAAATGGAAAACCTGCCCGGCAGCGCTCAGCCGGTAGCAAAACATCCCGATTTAGAGAAACCGCAGGAGGAGAGGGAGCTCTGGGGAGAGAGGGAGCCTCGTTCGGCTCCTTCCTGCCCCAGCCTGGGAGCAGTGTCCCAAGTCGGGACACCGCCGAGCCCGGTCTGCGCCGCGTGGGTTGGGATGCGCTTCCCATAGCCCCGGCGTGGATGGAGTCCCCGGGGAATCCCCGGACATGCGGAGCTGGCTGCCGGCCTGGCGGGACGACAGCCCTACTGCTACCGCGGCTCTGCGGGCTACCGAGTGATACCGCGGTACCAAGAGGCTCAGATAATCATTTTGTTAGTGTTTATCTTTTTTTTTTTTTTAATCTGTAAATAGGAGTAACTCAGATTACAAAAACAGTAGGAAGTTCTGGGATCTTTACATGTGTTTTAAATCCAGATAGAAATAAAAGCAGGCCTTGGAATAGTTCTGCAAAACGAAGCATGCCAAAATAATGCGTTTGCTGTTTTGATGGTTTTAATATGTTTTAATTTGTTCTCGCTGTTTCAGCTTTTATGGGATGTTTCGTTATGTCATATAATTGCATGAAATTCAAGCCGATAAGATGAAATGTTTCTTCAGTTTTCTATGAAAAGAATCAAAACAATGCATTTTCATATACCTGTGTTGTGTTGAATCAGCACTTTCCAAGAGCCATGAAGTATTTTGAATTTTTTTCTGTCCTTTCCAATAGCAGCCATAGAAGCAATGAAAATGAGAATTTTTTAATGTCTGAGAATCATCTGCCAAGATGAATCAACCTGACATTAACTCTGCAAGATTGACAAAGATCATTAAAAATGTAAATAATAGAAAAGCGTCACTGTATTTTGAGGCCAAGGAAGTTCCCATACTGTCATTACAACATAGTTTAGCTGGGATATTTTTTCTCCTTCACTTGTGTCCCTTGTGAAGAAAAATATTAATGCTGTGGGGATCTCATAACTTCAACAAATCCCATTTTCCCATTTTTGTAGCATATCTCATTTTCTGTTGTGTGTTGGCAACATTTCAAATTTTCTCAAAGTGATCTTTTAAATATGAACAGCATTACTGTTTGCTGCTGCTTGTTAATGTTCAGTTCTGTTTGTTTTTTGCTGTATTTTGAAGTGTGGTGCTAGCAAAATAATGAAGCTGAAAACAGACTGATAAATAATAGCCACAGTGAAGAAAAGAGTTATCCTGAGGATTTTAGAAATATGATTAAAACATGTATATGAATAACTAGGTATTACTGTTAAAATGAAATAATTTACTCATGTAAAAGCAGCTCAGTAATTGTAAGCCTGTGTATTCCTATCAGAGAGGAGCAGTCGGAGCTAACAGCCCACTACTCTTTCTTTTGAAATTCAAATGAATAATCATCTTTCCATTATCTAGGTCAATAGGCTGGGCTACCCCAGAAAGAGGGAGAAAACAGGTAAAACAGGATGTGCTGGAGAGCCTAATGCCCGCCTTGCTGGATGGAGGCTGTTTCCGCACATCGGTGTCTGCACCGAGCTCCCTGGAGCGGCGGTTTGGGGAGAGCTTGTCCTGGGCACAGGGCAGGACACAGGCCCTGCGAGCTCCCATCTGAGCTCACAGCTCCTCAGCGCTCAGCGAGGTGAAGCCGGCGTGTCCTTAATGTGCACGCGACTGCTCTTTCAATATACCCCCGAAACAAGAATTAAATGCAGCCAAAAATGTGTCTGTTGTTGGAGAAACTGTGCTAGTGAGAGTAGAAGATGCTCCTGTGCACTATCATACACCATGCACTATCTTCTCTGTGTGGCAAGCTACCTCTGCCTCCTCACACAGCCTCTGCTTCCATGGCACTGCCGCCAAATACATGCACCAATTGGAAAAATATGTGTTTTTGAGGTTAGATGTAAATCTTAGATGTGAGTAAACAGCAAGCAAATGTTTTTGCTGTTCTAAATATGAAGACAAGCAATAATGGGTCCAGTGAATCCATGTTCTGTTATTATTTTTATTTTATTTTATGCCCGTTATGAAATTTCATCATGTTGTACATTTCTTTCTGGAGAACACAAAATGGCTTTCTGGGGAAAAACATGCGAAAAAATGGAGTTACCTCTTGAAATGTCTGGTAAGTGGTTTCCATCACAAACTGTGGAAACTGAATTACAAAATGAAGGAGAAAAGTTGGAATTACAGTATCCAGAGTTTTGTTTGAACCTGAAACGTATGATGTGTTCCAAGTAGAGGGGGCTACACCCAAGGTTAGATCACAAATGCTTGTCTTGTAGATCATTTCTGGAATAAACGTTAAGTACCTTGAGCTGCTCAAGTCTTGTATTCATGAGGAAAAAAATAATCTATGGTCTTTCTTTATGTTAGCTAACAAGTTAAAATAGTGAAAAAGACATAACAGCTGTGCTTTTTATGAGCTAGTGAATATTACCTTCCTTGCAGTTTTTCGTTCTCTTAAACTGCTAATTCACATGAAAAATATTAAGACTTCCATGTCATTGCTGGGAAGGTGGTGTCCCTTGCCATCTTTGCAGCTACTGCGCACTAGCAACCACAAGCCAGCTTCAAGCTGATGTTGGCTAAGAATGTGGTTTTCAAAAGGCTTTGTTTTGAAAATAAAAGCTTTTAGGCACCCAGAACCGACAACAAGTGAGTTTCATCGTGAGAAGTGAAGAGCTCCGAAATGGAATAATCGCTTGAGAGGACAAACCAGTTCAGGCAAAATGCAGCGAAACTCCAATTACATCAAATTTTAAGCAGGAATATAGATGAAGTTTCTTATCTGTACTTCATGTTGTGTGCCAAAATCTTTGTTTTGCAGGTGGTACCTGTTTCTGTGCGCTGTGGTGAGGGCTGTGCTGGGGGTGGTTCCCTGGCCTCCCCAGCCCTGCGCTGAGGACGGGCGCTTTGGGAGAGGACAGCTCTGTTTCACCGAGACAACGTGGAGTTTTCTCCTTAGCCATAACCTGCTCATCTCAGGGCAGGAGATACTCCAAGATGTATCAGCTACTGTGTTTCATAATATCACCCAGATTGCAAAGTGCTACCTAGTAAAAAAGAAATGCCAATCACTTTCCCTGGGCCTAAACACTGCAAAACCACTTGATATCTAAACACGGAATAAAAACAATTTGGGGATTTTCCCCATTCATTGCAACCCTTTCAGAATGTTTATCTGTAAACAAAAATATATTCTTTTCTTCGCAGTTGTGAGACGGAGACCTATCCCAGACTCCGCAAGTCAAACTGGGTCCCTTCTATCTCACAGGTCGTTGCAGTGCTAGGAGTTCTGTTTAGCAGATGATCCTCAGCTACTTGTGAGTAACCCTATTGATTTGAACGTCTGCCCCAGCAACACCTGTGCAAATTTGTGGATGGCGCTGGGACTGCACAGATGCCATGGAGGGCATATTCTGGCACACAGGATATTTATTACTGGTAGTGATGCATGAGATGGAAGGAATCCAGAACTCAGGCTGAGTTTGTGCAGCTGGCAGTCAGAAATTTACTCGCAAACTGAGCTCATTGGGTAGGAAAATCAGTGTGATAATGAAGCCCCCAGTGCCATTTTTACCAAAACGCTTTTTAGGGCAGGAGAACAATTTAGAAGAGATGTGTCTCTCATTAAAAGTGTCTGAAAAAAAAATGCACTTAAAAACAGAGAGAGAGGAATCCCATGAGATATTAAATCATTGTTATCTGATATCAGAAATCACTGTTACTAAACCTGTTTCAGTAGCAATGTCTACTTATTATC